CCAATATAAATGATTGAATAACAAAAATAAAAAGTTTTTTATACTTGCAATCTAAAAATAATCGAGATATGTAAAATTAGGCGAGGAGTAATCGGATTAGGCGGGAAGTAATCGGATTAGGCGGAGAGTAATCGGGTAACTGATTTTTTTAGGGGATTAGTCATTAATCGAGGCGGATAGGGTGGGCATAGCGATTACGCGGGGAGTAATCGGGCCTAGGCGGTGATTTTTAGAACATGGATTTTAACCAACTAGATCATGTTCTAACTTGTATTCACCGTGGCACCAAAAGTTATATTGAGTCAATTTTAATGATAAGATGTTTTATCTGGAGTAGCCTTCAATGACAGCTGATGGTAAGATATTTTGTGAACATATCAACGTCGATTTTAATGCTTGTTTGAACTTCTATTGACAAACGACAATTTAGTTTTTAGGAATCGCATTAATTATTTCGATAGTTATTTCATACGAAAATAAGATAACTTTACAAATTTAAGTTTAAAAATGATCTTAATGCGATCTTTGTTAATTAATTTATTTGTTTTCTATAACACTTGAAGAATTCTCCTAATATTTTTATTTTTCGTTACAAAATTTATGTTTTTTGATATAAAAAATTTCCTAAATTAATCTAAATCAACATAGTTTATAGTATGTTAACTTGGTGTTTGTGGATTTAATCCCTACAATATATTATTTTGTTTGTTGTGCTGTGCAGTTACTTTAAATATTTAAAGTAATACATGTGCTTAAACAGTATAGGAGGTTCTTTACAATAAAAAGGCAAGCTAACTCGACACAGCTGCATACGAAAGAACAAGAATTACGAAAGTCAGTCAACTCCTTATCATCGAACATAATTCAAAGATTGATATGACTATACATGATTTGATTTTTGTTGTTTTACTATTCAAGTTTGACCAATAAAAAAGCTATTCTACATTTATATTCGTGTTTTCCATAAACTTTAAATGAATCGGTTAATTTTTGTTCAAACCAATTATATTACTTTTGTGAAATACTAAGAGAACCACCGTGCTACGTGTTGGTTATTTGCCTATTACTAAACCAAATAATATTTGTGATCCATAATGTGTTTATACAAAATTCATATTTGAAATATAATATTTGTCTAACAATGTATATTTTAATATGATCTTAATTTTTCTTAGAAGAGTATATATATTGAATAACCAATTCACCTCTAGGGTCCATGTTTCTCCTCCTCACTTGTTTGAAGGAGTTAGATGGTTGAAGAATCCGTGCCGAGAGAAAAAAAAATATGGCTATGATTTTTCGATTAGCCTTTCAAGCCTCCAAATACATTTTCTGGAAAGAACGAAATATAATTCAAGACTACATAATTATGTTTCTAGACCTCCGAGTGCTTTGATTGTTGAGATTAAAAGTCTCTAGTGTCATTTGGATCCGATATCTAGAGCTCAACGAGTGAGGCCGAATGGTGTCTCGGTTCTTGGTTCTTGGCTTGCTTGCTTTTAACCTTAATGTGCTCTATTTATATTGTCTTAAGTTATATTAGTTGAATGGTTTACAAAAAAAAAAAAAAAAAAAAAAAAGTTATATTAGTTGAATAATAGAAATGTTGACTACTCAAGTTAAGCAACTTGCCCGTTGTTAAATGGGTCAGTCAAACTTGTAAGTTAAAGTCCTGTAAATTTTCTAAAAAACAAATTCTCTTCAACTGTAAAAGACATTTTGGTTATTCGCTTTATGAGAAGGTTCAGTCTCTTTTCCAAGACTATCAAGTATCAAGCATTAGTTGATTTTAATCTCTCAAATCAAGCTCCTGATAATACTATTCGTCTTTACTTTATAAGAGTTGTGGGACCTTTGGCTATCACACTCCTAAGTAATTTTCCTCAAATCTTAGTTTTGTTGCATCTAGATGAAAGGATGAACGAGGTAGCTAAAATGTGTATTATTCTATATGACGCGAAAAAAGTGATGTGTATAGCTTCTAGAGATTTTGACAAAGAGGTACATGTAGATTATGCAATGCCATGTTGCCAACAAAGTCTTATAATCTGAGTATGCTTATTATATGCACCCTGTCCAAAATCCGTATCCTATTGTAGATGTTTTGATTTCTTGTCTTACGTTTTAGAGTTTACCGTTTATTATTCAGGTTACACCGAGGCTCAGTAAAAATAAAGTAAAGCAATGTGTTATTTACAAAATGAGAAAAATAAAGAATGGAAAAATGTGTGAATAATCAAATCCTACCATTCACGACTGACTACCAGATTCCATGTACTCAATATCAATGTTGGAGAAGGAACTCGTGTCGTGGCTGCCTTGAAACTCTTAAATAAGCTATTCTATACCGTACAACTTTGATCAATGACTCGAACAAGATGACCCGTTTGGTGGCCGGTAGACTTGTGGATGCGTTCATTTCGTGCCTTCCACGAATAATATATTATTGTTTGGAAAACAAGGAGAGGTAGGATGTAGCTGTCCCTATCAAGCGTGGGCACTCTCATTTTTCTTAGAGTTTCCAGCCAAGGATCAGCGGCTTCTCCTATAATTAGGTCTCCCACTACATCAATTCAAATTGTAAAACTGTAATGACATGCAAAGAACAAATGGTGACGTGTTTCACATATATGGTTCCCCACAAAAGACCATCCTATTTCTGCAAGCGAGCACCTGTAGATAACCTGTCTTTTATTGCCAACTAGGTTATGAAAGCAAAACGCGGAACACGTTAGGGAAACCAGATTATGTAACTCCATTGTTGCTGTATACTTCGAGTTCACAGTTGTTCTCATCTTTTTGCTCAAAATGTCTGTCATAAAATCTGATCTGCTTAACCAGCTAAGACAGAGCAACTTGCCTACAATGCATGAATCTCCTTGAGGCTACAGAGCAATTTGTAATTTTGACTTGAACATTAAATATTTAGTAAGAAAATTTGATGATAAATAACGAAAATTATAGATAAATTCACTTATGAAAACAATATACATACATTCAAGTGTCTAGTTAAATAGCTCGGTTGTCGCATTTTCACAATCAATATAAGACTATTAAAATGAAGAAGATGCAGATATAACAGTTGAAAACTAATAAGAAATTTGGTTTCTTTGATTAAAAAGCTTTAGATAATATTATAATAGAATATTTTGAACACACACTGATAGAAAAGTGTTCAGACTGTTCTCCTTCAAAGAAGAAGTTTGATAACAACATGGCAGTGAAATAGTGTTAAAGTACCTGAGAGACGTTAATGGCGATGATGGGTAGGAGATTGGACTAAGATCCACAACATAAATAATAGGCCAGGCCCAACAAAAGGCCCACTAAAGAGTAAGCCCACTTTTGAGGGAACTGAGATTAGGAAGAGGAAGAGGAGAGGGATCGGATCTCTGTCGAATATTTTGTCGACAACAGGCTCCAAGACGGCAAAGTTTCTCGTGACAGAGAACGCCACCGAGGAGGTTCATTCACCAACTCAGTAAAATATATGTTTTCCTTTACACAGTCAACAGTGTTTGACAATCATATAATTTTTAAAAGCAAAACCAACAAAACGTTAAAACAATGTAATTTTTAGTGTTTTGGACAGTGTCACACCTGTCCATAAAACACTAAATGAAAAAATGAATAAAATAATATTTTAATTTTTAGTGTTTAATCAATTAAAAATAAATACACCATCAATACACACATGGTTGGGACAATTAAAATTAGAAGAAGAGAGAATTAAAACCGAGTCTAACATTAAAGAATTATTGAAACGGAGTCGAACCATAACTAAAGTCAACTTTTTTACTTGGTTTGCCTTAAACATGATTATCATAAGGTGAGCATAAAACAAAAACCCACATGTATATATTTAAATACACATTGACTCAATGCTCCATAAGATATTATTCCAATTTTTATAGTCGCCAACATAGTAGAAAGACTATGACACAAGCTTTAGGGTTTTATGCTTTAAAAGTATCCACAAAAGCTAGATGTAGAGTATAAAATGGGGTCATTATATCCACACACACTTATATAGAACATATTTATGTAGATGTCGTACATATATAGAGATAGAGAGCAAGAAGGCGCATGGCGAGGCAACGTGAGAGTGTGCATGAACTGTTCCCACCACGTGTGAAACGTGAGTTGCGACTAACTTCCATGAGGTTGGCTCACGTGCGGGCCATGACTCGCCACGTTGTACAAATTTGTGGTCATAACCGTGGCCAGGTCACACTTGCACTCTCTTAGCTTTTCACAAAGGGCAAAGAAACCAAAAGATGTCGTAGATAGAGAGAAACAAAAGGAATATTAATTTTTTCTTTTTGGTATTTCACTGGTCGTTTTTTGTTGTTGTTCAAATTCACTTGTCGTTTTATATGTCTAATTAAGCATGTTGATTATCAATTCAATGTGGTGCCTTTGATTATGTATAAAATTATGTGTCTTTTTTTTGTATTTGAGAGCAAAACATGCATGTGTGTTATGACTACATATATAGACGCACATTGACGTCATATCAAGAAGAATTAAGTCAGTGTAAATAGCAAAAATAAATTTAAGAGTATTGAGTCAATGTTCGTTCAACTCTATGACACAATGGTTTTGACCTTATAGTTATAGTATAGATTTAATTTTCTTAAAAGAAAATATATTATTGTCAGATCTGATGATAAATTTCTAAACAGTGAACTTTATACATTTTCATTTCATAGCTCGAGACTGTAAATAGAGTATAATATAGTCAAAACAATAGCTATCAGTTTTTTTTAGTTCTTGGTTAATTCATACTTTTTCATATAACGATTCCTATAATTAGATTGGACATTACTAAGAACTTCATGATCACGTGAGAATAAATATTTCTTTTCTTTTCTCATAAACTATAAATATTATTTTCTAAGACTTTTAATATTAACCTTACAAAAAAGCGTGTGCTGTTGATTATTCTTGAGAATCTATACCAGAAATTGCTATAAATTGAGAGGCAATTCATGAGCTCTATAACTGCAACCAACACTAAAAATCCTCTAGTAAATCAGAAACACACAAAACCCTAGTTAAAAATGGCAGTGATGAGTCACAACAACGCAGAAGGCAGGCTATACGAGTCAACCCGGACTCGGCCGATTCCTTACTTACAAACTGGTGGCCAAGAGAACGGAGGAGACGATGACGACGACGACTGTGACGTTGCTCCGGCGGCTTGATCATCATGTGCATATTATCGTATGCTACTATAAACTTAAATAACAGCCATTTAATTAAGTAGTAATATAATTGTGCTTCTTGTCATAGAACCACACACACATGTAGCTGAAGTAGTAGATCGTGCCTGTATTTATCCATGTCGCAAACAGGCTTTTATTATTTACTAGATAAACAACATTTTTGACTTTGGAGTGTTGAGAGACTAGCTAGCTTTAAGTAACAATATAATGTATCGTGTGTCTATTATTAATGAAATAATATTAAATTATGTACACAAGATTTGTGGTTATAGTATGATCAATATGGATATATATATATTTCAAAATTCTCATCTTCCTTTAATCTTTTTCTTTTTGTTAATATTAGCTGGAAATTTTTAAAATTGGTACGAGACATTGTTTGTCTCATATTCCTTTGCTCAGCGTTTTGTGGCCTCTACCTCTTAGGACCACTTACTGCAAATTAAAATATATGACGAGCTAAAATGTGAGGTATATTGAGAATGAGTTCTTAAAATTACTTGGACTGTTATACTTAGAATTTGAGACTTAAGTACAATTGATGTTAATTCTAAAAATGTAGAACATTGTTAATTTCTTGAACAGCTGTTAGCCAACAATGACCAATGATGATCATTTATTGAAGAGGCGATTTTGATGCTCATCGATCAGTCGATCTCTTGGCGAAGTACTTGATCAACCTGCTAGTCGAGCATCAGATGATCAGAAATTCAGAAGCATTCAACACCACTATAGTTATCCCAATTTGTAAGTACATGTATTTATGTATGTATGATTGTTTGTATGTATGTATGTATCATGTATGTATGTATGTATGTATGTATGTATACATATATATTAGAAAATAGTCATATACTATTAAGTTTCAAGTCGTTATAGTATTGGACAATTATTATTCGTAACTATTAAAAGCGTTTTTCATTTTCAATCTGAACCTAATGCCTAGCCTAGCGAGTTGAAACATAGCTACCTAATAGGCTAATACACAATCGCTAAGTACAAATAATACAACTAAAAAAGTAACGTCCCTTGGATATGATATCACTTAGAAGTTAGTTATTTAAGTTTCATAAGATTATCAGAAAACAGAGCTGTGACGTCCTATCAGTTATTCAGTTTCCATATTTTTGCTTCACTATAAGCGATCTTAACAATTTCATGTGGACTTTTTTTCATTCTATTAAAAATCTTATCATTGCTTGCCTTCTAAATTTTATGATAAGCTGTCGATTTTATGTGTTTTAAAAATCTTTATTAGAAATTACAATGTTTTTTTTTCTTAATATATTAATGTCAATCCAATGGGTTTGGGTAATAGGCCAGACAATTTCACGGGTTACAAAACACTGATGAAGAAAATCTGGCGAAAAGACATTGACCATAGAAGAGGACGCCAAAGGTAATTTTTTCCAAACTAAATTAATTTTGAAAGTAGATACATATAAGAAATTTTTTCAGAAATATAAAAATTCCATAAAATAATTTATGGAAATGACTTTTATTATTCCATAATGCTATATTTTGATTAACTTTTTAATTATTAGAATAATTATTTTTCAGTTAAAAAAAAAGTACACTTATTTTCTTAACTGAATAAATTTCTTTATTAGGATATACTTATTTTCCGAAATAAAGGATAATTTATTTCTTACAACTCATCATGAGTCTCATCTTATTGATGTTGCACAACCACGTGAAAGAGAAAGCATGTTACATAACAGAAGACGGAAATGCAATGAGAGGAGACTTGCGGCAAACATCGATACCAATGGCTTCAGCTAGATCAGGTTGATCCCCATTTGGTCCAGCCTCTACCTTCCAGTCAAATCGGCCTACAAGGTTGGCCACTGTCACCTCTGCCAAACCCAAAGCAAGATTTATCCCAGGACAAATCCTTCTTCCTGAACCGAATGGAATGTAGTTCAGATTTTTTCCGTGATAATCCAAAGCTGAATCTAAGTGTCTTTCCGGTTTGAATTCTTCAGCATCCGGTCCCCATATCGCCGTGTCTCGTTGGATCGCCCAAGCATTGATTATCACCTAGACATGTTTCCATTACAATTTTAGCCAAAATCTTTTGCTCTCTATGTAGGAACAGGATGGTAAACAATTGTTATAATTTATAGCTAATACCATTTTTTAGTAATCAAATTTAGTGTATGACAAAGACTATTAAGACGTATATGTAAAGTTATGTGTGAACGAGTTAACTGCTAGGTTAATAAAATATTTCTTTTGCAAATGATATTTAATCGTTAGAAAAATAAATTTAAAATTATTTATGGTGTTTCTTTGCATATAAGAATTTGATTTGATAGAAATTAGTTTACCTCTGTCCCTGCGGCTATGTTATATCCCTTTACTTTGACATCTTCACTTAAGAGTCTGGGAAGTATCATTGGAAGAGAAGGATGCAACCGAAGCACCTCTTTAATCACGGCTTTTAAGTATTTCATAGTTTCAACTTCTTTTTCTTTTATGTATGAACCATGTGGCCTAATGGTTGACCGAATCTCGTCTTGGAGTTTCTTCATACTCTTTGGACTTCTGATCAGTTCTGTCATTGTCCATTCTAGTAGAGTCGAAGTTGTTGACGTTCCTCCAATAAACATATCCTGATATGAAAGTAGAAAAGTTAGATGTCATTACTCATAAAAATGTTTCATATATATTATAAATGAATTGGCTTATAATGATCCTACCAAGATCATAAATTTGATGTCGTCTCTTTGAACTTGGAATCCATTATTCTTGTCTTTTTCGATTGATAACAATATATCCACGAAATCCGCTTTATGTTTGTCCGCCTCTAAATGTTCTTGCACCACTTTGTCCATAAGATCGCTAAACCCGCGACTCACTTCCTTAATCTTTTTATTGAAACCACGGATCCCATCTATCCATCCCAAAATGGGGACATATTCCCCGATCGGGAACTCGCCTAAAAGCTCCATGATCTGCCTCACTCGCTTCTTAAGATCCCTTGCGGTTTCGTCCTCGCTATGTTTTCTTCCCAAGGCAACCCTACTCGTAACATCGCTTGGCAGAGTAATAAAGAGTTCGCTCAGATTTTCTGATGAAGCAGAAGAACTTGCTTCCTCCAGCTTCTTAATCATTGCATTTACCTCGTCTTCTCTTATCTTCTCAAAGGATTCAACCATTTTGTTGGTGAGCAGATTGAGAATGCATACACTCTTCAGCCAAAACCAGAGTAAAAAACGTTACTAGTTGATTAAAGGATATAAATAAATATTAGAATTTGTTAGTGCATGTTAAAGAGGAATAAATATTTAAAAAATAAAAAGTTGAAGAGGAATTAAAAAGGTCTAGTGAAATACCTTCATCTGTCTCCAATATTCTCCATAGGGAGCAAACACCACATCACGCCCACCATTCATAAGCCCACGAACGGCTTTTGATCTCGGGCGGTTCGCAAACTTATGATCATGTGTTTTCAATACCTCTTGAGCTGCTTCACCGGAGGAGACTACGAGTATTGGGACACGGCCAAAATGAAGGAGCATGAGAGGTCCGTACCTGAGGCTGAGGGACCTGAGGGAACGGTGAGGGTGGAGGCTGAGCTGGTGGAGGTTTCCAATCACCGGAAGTCGCCATGGAGATGGTGGTCGGTTCACTTTAGTGGCAGTTCGTTTGAGGAATTTTCTAAGCAATAGAAGGGTTAAGAGGGTCGTCAAGCACAAAGAGATCATCAATATCATTTCCATTTTTTGAATATTGCTCATGTAAGAAAGTGTTTGTTTGGTGATTTTGTGACTCATCTTCTGCGTGTTATTTATAGGGTTGATTGGAACTCATTGTTTCTGCAACAAGCATGAATCATCAGTTTAGCTTACATATAATAATGCAGAATAATCAATTTTCGTTGTTTGTGTACGTTGAAAAGTAATAATCCTATAGTTAGTTTTGGAACTATATGTATATCTCCTTCTTTTATTGAAAACAAGAATTTTTGGTCGTTATTATGTATTGATTTTTCTTTATAAAAAAGGCAGTATTGTGAACCAAAAAGAAAAAACACTTTCATTATGACCACGAGTAATATCATTTTAGCTGACTCATGATAGTTGTTATAATTTTGATTGTATTTTGTGTACGTAGAAAAATAACATACTAAATTAGTTTTGGAATAAGATGTAATCTTTCTTTTTAAGAACTAACGTTCATATATTAAATAATACTTTTTTACTAATCTATATATAATAGCAATCTAATAAATACCATTTGCACATCTGAACGATTGCGTCTTTTTATCGCAACTTTTCGTTAATGTTTTTATTAATTAAAATATATATTTTACGGTTATGTTTTTATTTTATAAATTGCATTCTGAATGTTTTCTACGGTTGCGTTTTTTTATTGTAACTCTTCATAAACAGTTGAAACCGCTTATTCGAATCATTGCAATATTTAGTTTATTTTACGAACAATTGCAACCTTTGGTTTATATATTTAGTTTATTTCACGAACAATTGCAATTTTTGGTTTATTTTATAAATAGCTATAACATTTAATTATCTACCGCCGCGTCTCTCGGTGTAACTTTTCATAAATTATTATTTTAAATCTTAATTTTTAATTACTAAAATGTATTTAAATGAGATTGTAACTATTTAATTGAACTGTTTCAACATTTGGATTATTTGACGAATTATTGCAACTTTTGGTTTTGTGTTACGAACCATTGTTATCTTTAATATATTTGATGAACTATTGCAACATTTGGTATAATTGACGAACCGTTGCAGTTTTTGGAATATTTGATATCTACGGTTGCGTTTCTCGGATAAGTTCGTCAAATTTTTAAAAAATATTTAAATTCTAAAATATATTTAAATGAATTGTTGCTACCGTTTAATTTAACACAATAGCATTTGGTTTATTTGACGTTGAACGTTTTGGCTTATTTATCAAACCATTGTAATATTTGGTTTATTAGTTTATGCTTTTTGCACTTGGGAATAGTTTTTTAGTTACAAATTATTGTTTTTCTAATATTAATATACTTAATAAATGCTTGTGAGGGTTTTTTTTTTATCATAATTTTTGTAAAATATATATTGATTTGTTATTAAAAAAATTCAAAATTATTACAATTCATTATGATTTTTTCGTTTGATATTTTTGAAAATGATTTTTGAAATATATTCCCCCGCGACATCGCGGGGGTCCTGAGTCCTAGTAATATCAATAGTTATCCATATAACGAAGAGTCGAGAATAACTATGATATATATGAATGAGAAATTATTATTAGAATCATTTACGCCAAATTTGATTTTGTTACTTTCTTGTAAGCTTTTTAATCTCTTTCATAGAAAATTCTAACTTTGATTTAATTTGATATCAGAGATGTCAGAATAATCTTTGAAACTACAGTGTAAATTATGTTACTCAATAAATCCTGCAAAAGTTTCATTGTTATATTCTTACATAAGTCTTAAGATCGACATTTTATTTAACAAAAAAAAAACGACGTTATTCATCAAACGTTTGAAGTAAAAAAAATATAAATATCGTGAGGTCAAATTAAGTTTTTTTTTTGTTTTAGTCAAATAACGGTTACCTCGTCAAACCTCGAAAGAAATGACAATGTCGGGACGTATCAAGGGTATATAGAAGTTTGAGTTCGTAAATGGTAAAATTAGAGATGAACTTAGAAGGATTCAAAGTAATATTGATGTTTATCCATGACGTATGCTTTTTTTTTTTGGCAACAATATCCATGACGTATGTATATCTTTACATATAAATTGTAATTAAAATAAGCTGGTTTTATTCTACAATATATAACTTGTTTCAGAATCAAATAAAAAATAAATGTCTATATTTAGTATAATTGCATATTCTCAAATTTTATAAATGTATATTTTCTTCTTACTTAATAAAAGTTAACTTTTCAAAAAATTTAAACCAAGGATTAAATTTCGTTATCAAAGTTAATTTCGAATTCTTAAATGTTTCACCTAGCTATTTGTTATATTATTTCATAAAAATAATAGAAGCAAATAATTCTAAAATTAAAAAAAAAAAATTTTGCTAGTCTGACAATATTTTACAGGATTTGTTTCTTTCATAATTAAGATGAGTAACAACATATGTTGTCCTCGTGTAGAACATGAAGCAGATCGTATGATGGACCTGATCCAACACAATTCATATAAATATTCCCTAAATAATCTTTGATTTTTGTCAAACATTTGATTTTTCTTCCAGGACTTTTCTATGTAAAAATGCGTGCAGCCAATTAATTATCTTGTCCTCACTGCTCCCCTTTCCATGATTTTTCTCGCATAGCTGCTGATGCAATGAATCTATCTTCTCAAATAGTTGCAGCTACATTTTTTAAGTCATTCATTTGTAGCTGAGAATTTCTCATGAATAGAATCCATCACGTGGGTATTAATTTACAAAAAAACGTGTAAATTACTATATGTGTCATTTATAAACACATCATATCCCTTATGTAAAAATACTAGGAGAACCCCTGCGCCACATGCTGGTTATATACAAAAACCAAAATAACACTTTTGATCCAAAATGTGTTTTATCCAAATTCATCTTAATTTGAATTATATTGTTTGCCATGTAGATGGTTTTCTTTTGTAAAAGACCTAACAACGTGTATGTTAATATGATTTTATAATATATTATGTTTTTAGAATATATGATGACTTTTTTGCTTTTCCAAACATACGATGACTTTTATTTGGAAGTTTATTCAACAACGAAGTTAGACTAGACTAGTTAAAATAATCAAAATGTCGACTAGTGAAGTTAAGTAACTTACCCGACGTTACTTTAGTAGTTGAATGAGTCAAACTTCTAAAATCAAATTCCGCACAACTACAAATAGCTACCTCATGTATTTTGTATTTTCATATATTCTACAAAAAAAATCTCTTAAATTGTAAATGACATTTTGATTATTCGTTTACCTGCCTCATTCAAATTGGAACAATATATTATATATAGTGTGTTAGTAATTTTCACTTGTGTACGTTTATATTTAGATCATCTTTATTTTGTCAGTCCAAATTGTGTAACATACTTGTAGAAATATTTTAGTGTTGCGTAAGCGTTTTAAGTTTTTTAGTTTGTAACTGATTTTAATAGATAGAAAGTACAAAGATATTCTTTAATGTATTTCACAAAAAAAAAACATTTTTAATGTAAAACTCCCAGTGAAATGTAGTATTAGCTACTTCTTCTGTTTTATTATAGGAATGAATTTGGGCAGAGACATTATTGGAACATATATAAAATTAGAAAAAAAAACATTAGGGTAAATTGTCATAGACGACAGAATATAACGATTGGAATAGACCTTCAAGTTGCGAATAATTACAAGATTACCAACCACAATTTTAGTCATGCGCATGGGGATGGAGAGAAACATCTGAGATTTAATAAATGTTCAACAGTTGAATTGACCTTCACGCGACAACAGATAAAACGAAGTGATATTTATTAAATTTTAATTTGAATCTATAACAAAAACATAGACGAAAATTATAGAAAAATTTAAACCACTAATCTAATAGCGTAGATATCTATTAATAAATATAACACTTATAGTTCGATATATGACTCTATGAAAGTATATGAACATGTATCTAAATTTATAGATAACTATTAATCAATTAACTAGTTGAATTTTTTTGATGAAATTCGATTTTTTTTCCAAGAAAAAAACATGCTTCGAGTGATTTCATGCATAGGCTATGCTCCATCGTCTTCTTCTTTTTCACTCTAAAATTTCTTTTTTGGTATTATATTTTCTTTATCTAAATCTTGACTCATCTCCACAAATATCCTTAGATCTGTATCTATACTTTGTATATTTATTTGTGAAGATCCAAAAAATGTTTTAGATCCATATTTGTATCGTGAAAGTTATATTTTCCGATGAATAAACAATGGTGGTGTGAATAATAAACACGACGTTGTTTTTCTTATCGGTTTGAATGAATTTAGAACAAAGTTGAGAGAAAGAGGAACATGAAAAAAAATAGACATCCAAAAATCAGACATATGTGCGTGGGGTTAAAATAAGAAAAAAATGTGCTTATTATTTTCAGTGTCTTGGACTATTTGGCATAACACCGAAAGTTTATTATCCAAAAATCTGATGTCTCCCACCCAATTATCTCTTTATTATATAGAATGTTTTAAGATATATATTTTGTTTTATTCTATAAGATGTTTTACAAATTTTAATGTAAATTTTAAATATATTTGATATTTTTGATTCTTTATATTTTATTGTTTCTTTTGTAACTAGTTAATTTTTTAAAATTTAAACATTAAATAATAAAAGTTGGAAAATTTAAACTACATACTTTTAACTAAAATATTATATAGTTCGAAATAGAGGGAGTAGCAGCAATACTTTTATTTGGGCAAAACTAGCAAGGCTATTATAAAATCGTAAATTAATTGAATATTAACATTTAATCTGATATAACATTACTTTTAAATTTATATCAATACCAATAAAATATAGGTTCACTAAAGGAAAAACTATAAAATCTACCACTTATTCCCAATTTCTTTCAAAATCTACCACATTCTTTTCCTTCTTTCAACTCATACCACATTTAGTATTTGAATTACTAATTTGCCCTCCCTATTTATCTTCCCAATTTATCTCTCCTTCCTATTTATCTCCCTTTCCTATTTATCTCTCCCCCTATATATCTTTCCTACAACATTAGCTTCCCTATTTATCTTTCTCTCCCTCGAAATACGTGCACTTTAACCAAGAAACATTATATCTCTTGAGACTAAACAATTAACTTTCGTTTTTGTCTCTAGATCTTGTTCCCGATTAGAAATTCTCTGTTGCGTCTAGATCTTGTCCCCGATTTCATCATCTTTCTATTATCATGAATCCCACATCTTGTCCACCAATAGTTCTCATTTAAGGGTTTCGAATTTTATTTTGATTTTTCACCATCTATTTTGGTCATCTATTTTGGTCCACAGATTAGTTGAGCATTATTGTCTTCACCTACCCGGATTATTGAATTTTTTTCCTTCTATTGCAAAATAACAAAATGATCCAGTTGTCTCCGAGTACTATTACTCATTCTATTACTCATTCGATATGAACTTGTCCCCGATCTAATTCTATTACTCATTCGATCTGAACTTGTCTCCGATCTAATTCTATTACTCATTCGATATGAACTTGTCTCCGATCTAATTCTATTACTCATTCGATCTGAACTTGTCCCCGATCTAATTCTATTACCCATTCGATCCCAACTTGTCCTCGATCTAATTTTATTACCCATTCTATCTGAATTTGTCCCCGATCTAATTATATTACTCATTCGATCTGAACTTGTCCCCATATAACATATTATTTAAATAAAATTATATGCAATTTTAAACGTGCAACATTTATTGCAACTTGTCTCTTTATCTGTCACAGCAGTCTGTCCCTTTATCTGACACACCAGTCTGTCACCATCAAGGGCAATTTCGTCCACAATTTGCATGTGGCAATGAAATGTGGTAGATTTTGAAAACTCTTTCCAATTGTGGTAGATTTTGAAAGCCACTTTTCAAAAAGTGGTACATTTTGCAAGATTCCCTTCACTAAAATACATAAGAAATGCAATTAAATTATAAAATTGTGAACGGTAAACCAAGTACAATTAGCATATGGTTGAATGAACCGGTTTACTTATTTCCCAGCCATTGTCTACGGCCTCAGGCCCAAAACCTCATTTATCATTCTTCTTCTTCTACCATAAACCCTAATTTTGGGGAGTCTCTGCACAATTTGCAGATCCTCAGATCCGATTCTGTCTATTTGTAATCCAAAGACAGAATTTGTAATCCATGACATCGAATTTTATGAAATTCAGCAGTCAAATTATCGGCAAATTCACCCGTGTAACTAGCTTACCAGCTCATCACACTGATTTGGTTCAAAGGGTTTCGATTTTAAAAGACGAGCTTTTAACGATTGGTAATAGTAAGGAAAAGTTCCAAAACGTTTTGGATCAAAAAGGGCAATGGTTGTTTAAAACTTATCGTGATGGTGCTGGGATCTTGGAGCTTATGGATCAACTCTTTCCTCGTCATTACTTAGCTCTTCAGGTTTCTTTTCTTCTTCTATCTTTTGTAGTCTATAAAGTTTGAATCTTGCCACTGCCCTGGTCGAATGTAGCTTCACTGTCGATTAGTTAAGTTTGTTTCTTAGGTTTTGATGTTATGTTAATGTTCAGGTTTTAGAGTGGAGGAGAGGGCAGAAGGATTACTGTATCCCATTGACATCGGAGGAGTATGCGAAAGGAATCAAAATTGCGGGTCGAGCTAGGGATATTAACCTTGCAGTCTATCTTTTCGATGAGGCGGCTAAGAAACGAAGTCAGACTGCTTCAGTTTACAATGCTTTGATGAGTGTTTACATGTGGAACGGGCTTGCTGATGAATGTCAGTCGCTTTTTAAAGATTTCAGGAGGCAAACGCATTGTGCTCCGACCGTTGTGACCTATAATATTCTAGTATCTGTTTATGGTAGACTTCTGATGGTAAAGAATATGGAAGCAGCTTTCGAAGAATTACAAAAACTGAAGCTTTCTCCCACTTCTGTCACTTACAACTTTCTAATTGCTGGCTACATGACGGCCTGGAATTGGGATAAAATGGAAGCTACTTTTCAAGAAATGAAGAGGGGTCCAGTTGAGCCTGATACAGATACTTATCAGCTAATGCTTCGTGGGTATGCAAATTCTGGGAATTTGAATAAGATGGAAGAAATGTATGAAGTGATTAAAGATCAGGTTGGGGTGAACAGTGGTCCTTTGGTCAGAGCCATGATCTGTGCATATTCTAAGAAAGCTGTTGATGATAGAGTCCAAAAGGTTGAAAATTTATTGAGTCTTCTCTCTGGGGAGGAATATCTTCCTTGGTTGAATGTGCTTTTGATTCGATTATACGCTCAAGAAGGCATTGTGGAAGCAATGGAGGGTAAAATCAACGAGGCATTTGAGCATAAGACATGTGTTAATAAGTCAAGTATTATGCGGGCAATTATTGCAGCCTACTTCAGGTGTAATGAAGTTGACAATCTTGCTAATTTCATCAAGCGTGCTGAGTCTGCTGGGTGGAAACTGTGCAGATCTCTCTACCACTGTAAGATCATGATGTATGGATCCCAAAAACGCTTTGGAGAAATGGAAGGTGTTGTAAATGAGATGGCAGAGACTAACTATGGGCTTGTAACTAAAACGTTCGCCATTATGTATAAGGCTTATAAATATCATGGAATGGAGTCAGATGCTGAGAAAGTGAAGGGAAAGATGCTGAAACGTGGGCTTTAGATGAACTTCAATTTGCGCAAAGAATTCTGTTGTTTTGATTTGTTCAGTGTCTTTATCAGGTGTGCGCGCTACCAAACAGAGTATCAAATGGTTAGTGCTGTTTCTGCCTTTGCATGTCTCCTGTTTATAGTGACTTACCAGGGGGTTGTGCTTAGCATTTGGTCTCTTTTTTTATCAATCAGGTTGTAGAACTGTGCTCCATGAGGCTGAATAAAAGATGCTGGCTAGGCTTCCATGATCTGTCATTAGGGGTTTTGGGATGAGACTAGCCCACATTTATTTTCTCGTCATGAGTGACTCAACTGTCACTATTCTGCCATAGTTGTACATGTTACGGGCAGAGTTTAAAATGTCCATGGCAGATTTTGGTCCTGTTGATAGATGAGAAACCTCAGTAAAACAGAGCCATGAAGAACAGTGCCTGCGCTATCTGGATGTTCTTGCATGTGTTTGCTGATAGGATTAGAAGAGCTATGATTTCCTTCTTATTGAAGGCTCTGCCAAGTGAAGTTATTTCCTTAAAGAGAAACCTGGCTGATGTTGCTGTGGCTTTCTCTTTCTGCCACCCCTGGGTTCAGTTTCCAGATTGTTGTAAGGTGAAATTCTCTGTTGTTAGGCTATCAACAGTCTTGTCTTACATTCACATACTGCTCTATTGTTTAGGCTTGAGCCCTGTTTGTAATTTGAAGGAAACCTGATAGCTCAGCTACGCATGATGTTTCAGTATAGTGGGACCTAGGTTACTAATTTACAAGTTGTCACGAATAAGCCATGGAGCTTTTGATTTTATTAAAATTCTTTGTTTCTTTGTCATTCAATTCTTTGCATTACTTAACGACATAGAATGTTGAACAATCTTCATAGTTATCAAATGCTTGTTTTGTGTACTTGAACCATTTTTTATACAAGGGACAATGAGGAAGAAGACAACAGAAAACAGAGCATTCCATTAATGTTTATAATTCAGTTTCAAGCAACACTGAAGGAAGTAGCAGCATTCTCGACGAACTTCCTAGCTCCTTTGAACCACCTCTTGTCTCCTGCTTGTGCTTTGCAGATGTAAAGCTTTCCACCATTCACAGTGGCTGTTATCAGTTGGTGCTTCCCACCTTCATCTCCATCAGCTGTTCTTGTCAAAACCGACAAGTAATAGTACTGTTTCCCTCCGATTTCTTGTGTAGATGTTTCAAGAATGTTTGCAGTTGCTACTGCATTTGCATCAAACCCTCCCTGCAGAAAAAAACAGTAACAATCTTTAAGGTATTGGTTCTTGTTTGAACCCAACAGTTTCCTTCACTAACTTGAATAAGAAATTACCTCAGAGGCTGTTTCGCCGAAGTAAGCTTGCTTTCCCAGGAGATAATTCACCTGCAGAAACCAGAAACATATCATCAGTTGTGTTGTGGTGATTATCATCTGATTGAATTTTTTCGCTATAAAAACAGAGTGAAACCTGAGAGAGGAACTGTTCGGGAGAACCATAATCAGTGATGGATTTCTTGTCTGTAGGAGTGATCATGACAGAGACATTGCTTGTGGCATCGAAGTTGTCCTCGAACCTTAGGACTTGTCCTGGATACTCAATTTCTTTACTTGGATTCCACTTTGATGGGATCTGGATTTTGAATCCTTCTCCTGTGAACGGCAGGAAATCTGTGTTCTTCTTTGGCTTACCAAACACATTAGCTGCAAAACACAATCAAGATTTGCTTCATGATTCTCATTGATATGATCGACATGTATAGAGAGAAAGAGGGATCATACCGGCTTCACCATAGGCGGCGTCAGCAGGAGAGACTTTGGATCCGATGGCTGCAGCACCAACGAGTAAGGTGAGAGCAAGACGGCGGGAAACAGCAGAGTTATCGTCTTCCTGAGACTGTTGAGCGCTACATACTAAATGGACAGGTCTCGAGAGGGACACATGACGAAACAACGAGGAAGGTGATGATCGTCCGGTGGAGGAGGCAAGTGCACTTTGGTGCAAGAAGCACGCGCTGTATGCCATTATCTTTTTTTTCTCTTTGTCTTTCTTGTTGCAACCTGAAGACCAAAAGTGATGAAAGTGTTTTTAAGTATGGAGTTTAAGAAAAGACTTGTTTCATTGGCTGGTTTTTGGATTTTGGAGCATCTTCTGTTTGGATGTCGGGATAAGGTTGTATAGGTGCTCCATCGTGCCACGTGGCAGTGATCCTTTTGGTCTGAATGAATTTCTAGATGTTTGTAATAGTTATGATCTAACTGGAAGTAAAATGAAACTGCTGGAAGAGTCTTTATGAGTACAAACAACATCTTTACTCTAGAAACTACCGCAAACGATTTGATAGTGAACGAAACATTAGAGCAGTATGAAACCGGTAAAAAGTCCGTTTCATGATTAGATAAATAAAAGCACTTTGGGCCAAAAACCACCGAAGTGAAATGGATCCAAACATATATTGTTAATACTTCATCAATGCCTCTGCTATCATGGGACCCAAAAACCAAAACCAAAAACAATTGGTCTTCATGCATCTCCCTTCTGTTCTGCTTTGTCTTCGCGTTGCCTTTTGTGGATATCTATCTTTGGAACATACATGTCTTTCTTCTTACCCGAATCCGAGTTGTTGCCTGACCTGGTCTTCTTTTTCTTACTGCTTTGATTCTTCGCCATTGGTGCAGCAGCTTCTTTTGGAACTGTGTTATGTTGCTTATTCCCGTGGGCCTGATCAGAAGGCATGTTCTCTTTCTTGTTACTTGCACCCGAACTGTTGCCTGATTTGTACTTTGATGGCTTACCCGTAGAAGCAGCTTCAGGCTGATTGATCCCATTGGTGGGATTATCAAACATCTTCTCTTTTTTCTTACCCGAATCAGTATTGTTGGCTGATTTGGGATTTCTTTGCTTATTGTTTTGCTGCCTCGGTATCGATGCAGCTTCTGTTGGAGCCATGTTGAAACCATGCTGCCGATTCCTATTTGTGTGACTTGGATGCTTGTTCTCTTTCAAACTCAGAGACCAAAAGAGAGAGTTGAGGAAAGAGTTTGGTTTCTCTTCCCATCCACCAGTATCATACATCTCATTCCTTGAATGTTTTGGTCCCATAGACTCCGGTGTATATGAAAGTCCTGCTTGACCATCATATGAGAGAATACCAGCTATTGCATGCATAGAAGCTCCGAGATGAGGCGGCAAATGTTCCCGTGGATGTGTTACCTACAAAATGCCAATAAACAGTTGGAAATCAAATCAAAAGAACCCTTGAAGTATGAGGTAGTTTTAAGCTCAAGGGTTTATAAACCCACCTTGAATAAAATAGACGCCATTAGTCTTTCCCGCAAAATGTACATTTGAGCAACTTCAAGGGCTGTGGTTCTGAAAGGCAGCCAGCGATCAACTACCAATTTGACTGAATTTTCAGGTGAAGACATCATTTTCGCTCCACGCCTACTCTCTTCTTTATGTATGTCCATTCTGTCTTCATTAGTATTAGCTCCTACTTCTTCTTCATCTTCTTCTTCTTCATCACTATCATCAGAATCACTGCTCCCTGTAGGAGCCACAGCTATCTCTGTTGAGACAAGTAACAAAGGAAGATCACGAGCAACAGTACAGTTTCTTATGTGCATGCCTCCATCTCCACGAGTGATCTCATCGAAAACAACTAAAGATTTATCATACTTTTTAGACGACAAGTTGAAGTTGTTTGACAGCGAATGCACACGGACTTTGGCACCACTAGCAGTTTCTACTATAGTTCTTCGATTATTACCAAAAGCTGGGCACAATCTTCCCACCATAGGATACAATCCTACTGCTAGCACAGCACGGAGTATACCAGGATCACGCGAATTTTGGCTACAACTAGAAATGTCGTTAGGAATAATCCCATGTCTTTTAAGTTCCGACTCAAGTTGGCTACGCATTTGATCCAACATCTTCATAGCACTTGGAGAGACAAAGTACTGAGAGCAAAACTCTGCCGAAAGACCTCTTTCTTTTGCGTTTTTCCAGCACTCAAAGGCAGCAACAACTGCAAGGTGATCACTGTCACCTCCACAAAGTGATGCAAGTTCAAGTTTTGCAGCAGCAGCTTTCTGTCTTTCACCTGGCGACATAGGCATAGTAAATGGTTCCTTGTAGTCCGCTGCACATGCCAGAGTAAGTGCTGGATCCAGACAGTTTACTAATACAGCGAAGAAAAGCATTTTGCTAATCAGAGGATGAACTGGGAGATGACCAAATTTCTCTCCAAGTTCGGTCAGCTCTTCCTGAGGTGTCAGGGCCCCGATATCCTGTAGTATGCTTAAGGCGTTTGCAATACTTTGATCAACAGGCGGGTCCAACAATTTCTGAAGGAAATCATTTGTTTTACAATTTGGATCAAGTATCTTAACCTGAAAATGTTATCGAAGGGCAGTGATCAGTAAGAGATTACATATGCATGAACGGCTCGCCGCATAGAGACAATTGCTATTAACTAGAAATTAAATGAGAGGAGCAGTACCTGTAAGCAGAGTTCTTCTACCGGCATCCTCTTGATTTCAGGAACTTTAAAATCTGGCATAGAGGCTGCCCGAAGTCTAGAATAGAGATGATAACAAATGCCAGGTTGGCAGCGGCCTGCTCGACCCTCACGCTGTTTTGCATTTGCTTTTGATACCCAAGAAGATTGGAGAGTTGAAACATTATTATAAGGATCATAGCTCTTTTCCTTCATCCGGCCACTATCTATCACATAAACCACATCATCAATGGTAACTGCTGATTCAGCAATATTTGTCGCAAGCACGATTTTACGACAACCTCGAGGGGGGCGATTAAAAACTTTCTTCTGTTCCCCTGCTGGAACCATTGAGTGAAGACATATAATGTCGAATTTAGCACTATCTGCGAAGAAAGGGTTATCAAGTAATCTCTGTCTTGTTTTATTTATATCATCCCATCCAGGTAGAAAAACAAGAATGGCACCATCTTCTGAATCGCCACATATTTTCCTCATTAACTGCTGTATAAGACTCACATCGACCTGCTCTGGGTTGATTGTCGCCATGTATTTATCAAGTAACTGTTGTCCTTGCTGAGAATTAGACTGGAAATTGTCTGCATGCTCCCTGATTATTTGAGCAGCTTCTAGTTGATTCTCTGTTTCAGCCAATTCTAATGCAGTCATACCATCTTTAGACTTTAAGTTCCAGTCCGCACCAAATGATAGGAGCATGCAGACATCACTGATCCTGCCCTTTCCA